AAAAAAAAAAAAAAAAAAAAAAAAAGTCCAATACATCTGAAAGGAGGAGATAAAATGTAGGTGAACGAATGAAAAATGCTAAACTTCAGATACAAACTACTGTCCAACGCTATTGGAACAATTTTTTTGCTCAGTTTTTACGATTCTGGTTTCTAAATTACGATTAAATAGTAGATTCCGAGATCAAACCTTCACATGTTGCAAAGCAGAGATGATACAAAAATTATGAATTACGTAATCTATCTAGTTTTCAGAAACAAGTCAAACAAGCTGGTTGAAGCGCAAACGAAATAAGGAAGATAAGCTTAAATTAAAATAAACAAGCGTTCTCTAAACTTCTTTCCATTGAATAACGATGAGTTTATCTGAAGCAGTTGATTCGAACCGGATTCACTTGCCTACAAGACTAACAACTCCTAGTCAACATGGCGAACATAGCGTTCCAGAATATGCGAAGGACTCGAACAAACAGCATAAATGCTACCAAAATCAAGATTGAATAGATTTAACCATTTCAGCAGCCTTGTAAATAAGTCCTCTCCCCAGCATTAGATTAAAATCAAGCTTCTATGGCTAAGCACAAGAACATCTATAATAAAACGAGCAATTACAAGAAAATTCTACGTCTCACCTCGGAAATGCAATCCTCCAAGCGAGAATCGGGATGCGGAACTCTACCATACCTCCCGGCGAAAGGTGCGGAAACCTATCGATCGAGAATTGCACTTATGGATCAGAAATTCGATTATAAATGCGCACATGAAACGGAACAGCATTCGGAGAGTTAGAGCGGAAAATAGAGGAACTATGATGGAGGAAGACCAGATAGACGTGCGATCAGAATCTTGAACGGGGAGAGTGCTACATCCACTGCCTTCTGCATCTTTTTCCTCAATAGAAGAGAGCCAGGCAAGGATGTTTTCTCTCGCGATGGGCCGGAGGGAACAGCGGGAAAAAGGCGGGAGCGAATAGGTTTTGTCTAAAAATGTTTAAGATAATTCTATACAAATAAACTATTTTCAACCATTTTCTTATATTTTAAATTTAAATAATTAAATATTGTCAAATAAATTAAATAATTATAAGTTATATAGTACGATATTATCCACTTTGAACATAAGTTCTAGTGGCTTTGCTATGGGCTTCTCCAAAATGTCTCAACTGATGAAGATTGTATTCTTCACTTATAAACCATGATCTTCTAATAAATTAACCAATGTGGGATTTACTCTCAATAATCCTCTCAATCAAAATGTTATCAAAATTTTACATAAATAATTAATATTTTTGTCATTTTCATAATTATTTTTAAACGGTTTAAATTTCATATTTTGTCATCATCATTTTAACGTGGTAGACTTGAATTTGTTAACGACAACTGTAAAGATCGAAAATGGCTGAGATTTGGTCGCCAAATAGGATATCAAGAATTACATGATTGAATTTAATGTCACCGGCCGTGACCACACCACATTATTTCTAGTATATACCCACATTAATTTCCTTTTGCCACCTTCTTCAAAAATAAATTTTTAAAAATAAACTTTTGCCACGTGTCGTCCCTCTACACGCCTATCTTAAAGCTAGGTAACCAATGGGTCCGTCTAGACTCAAGAATAGTCTCGATAACATAAATTATAAATAAATATTGAATTTCATATTTATTTAAAATATTTGTATTTAAAAATAAAAAGTTGGAAGTTACCTTTTCATTTTTAATAAATGTTTTAAAATTATCTTTAGAATATATATCTATTAAAAATTTAAACAAAAAAAAAATTGAAATTTAGAACGAACATAACATGACCTGAAGGGTGTGGTCGTGTTCAAATTTCACACGCTCATGGTAAAAAAAACAAGAGGGTAAGAGGTGAAAACTAAGACCTGAGTTGAAAAATATTACCACATACAGATACCCTTTTTAAACTACCTTATCTATCTTAAATTATTTTTTAGAGTAAAAGACTATCCCTCACAAACCAATATAAGCCTTTTAAGCCTCGAAAACATAGAATTGCTTCAAATAAAACAGATTTAACTTTTTGAGTTCTGATTAACCTCATTTCATTCATGTATAATTTATTTATTCGGGTATCGTGCGACGATGAGCAAAAACAAAAAGGGGGACATGAGCATTACCACCTGACACGCCCAAACCCATTTCAAATTTCAATTTTGGTCAAATTTTAAGAAATTTCAACTTCATTTTACTCGGGAGACACAAACAAATAATTTACTCGGGTGTCATGGTAGTGATGACCAAAAACAAAAATGGGAACACGAGCATTATCACCCCGACGCCCAAACTCATTTCAAGTTTCAATTTTGGCCAACTTTTAAGAAATTTCAATTTCATTTTACTTGGATGACACAAACAAATTATTTACTCGGGTATCATGGTAGTGATAACCAAAAACAAAAATGGGAATATGAGCATCACTACCCCAACACGCCCAAACCCATTTCAAGTTTCAATTTTGGTCAAATTTTTAAAAATTCCAAAAAACGACTACAAATGATAATATTGAAACTTCCAAAACATCCCGAGCCAAGACGAGAAGTACAGACATACACGAACACGATGAATTCAAATATATTAAGAAACTCCAATGAAATGAAACATGAACAATCTGGGCATGTTCTAGTTAGTAAGAACCTGTTCCTCATGAAACAAATGAACAGCACCAATGGCAATAACGGTAAATACGCAAAACTATTCGATGTTGTGTTTTAATTCGACTATCACTCAGGGAGTTTGAAAGTGGCTATGTCTTCCTGTTGAATCCAACCATATTTTTCCAGAAATGGGTTCGACAGAGATTCAGGTGGATACCGTTGAATACAATCCTCCCAGACATTGGCGTCTTCCAAATCTCGCACCACCTCCCACAAGCAGCTGTTGCACTTGAACCCAGCTCCAAAGCTTATCATCAAAACCCGCCCACCTTTCTTCAGCCGCTTCTTCGCTTCCATATACGCCAAAACATACCACAAACTACTCGCCGATGTGTTCCCAAATCGGTGCAGTGTCATCCTCGCCGGCTCCAGGTCATACTTCTCCAGCCCCAAACTCGCTCCGATCCCGTCGATCACCGCTTTCCCGCCGGTGTGAATGCAGAAATGATCCACCCCTGTTTTGAAATTCACCGCACTGGTTTTCACCCCACTACCCTGTTTTGCATTTCTCTTTAGTTTTTTCACCGTGGTAACAATCAAAAACTGGAGAAGCTCCCTTGTCGGTAAAATTTTCGGTGCGATTTCCCGTAGGTTGTCGACGAAGGCTCGTGTTGCTGCCTTGGGGAGGTTTTTACCTAAGTGAAAACCCATGTAGCCTTTGTCGTCCTCTGTTTGGTAACAACATCCGTAGGATTCGTCTCTTGCGCCGTGGTGGGTTCGAACCAGGGTCTTGAGTTTGAACATGGCTCTGTTTTTCAACGCCGTGTTGTTTGTGAGAAGAATCGCACATCCGCCGGATCGGAATAAGCAATTGGACAAGATCATGGATCTGTCGTTGCCGGAATACCAATTGGGGCTTAATGATTCAGATGTTATAACGAGGGCGTTCATGTTTTTATACGATTTGAACACTCTTGAAACGACGTCGATTGATATTAAACTAGCGCTGCAGCCCATTCCGGTGAGGTTGAACACCTTGACATCAGGGCGGAGCTTGTAATGGTTGATGATCCGAGCGGAGAGCGACGGAATCGACGCTAACATTGAGACGTTTACGACTAAGATGTCGATTTCCGGCGGGGAGAAGCCTGATTTGTCGAAGAGCTTCTGGATGCTGTCGTGGAAAAACTCGTCCATTTCTGAGATTCCATCGTCGAGAGTGGGAGATTCTTCACGGCCGGCGAACATGATTCTTGGGCCGTAGGTTTCTTCGCCGATGCCGGAGCTGACGGCGGCTTTGAGGAGGAATTTGTACTCGTTGAGGCCGAGGTTTTTGGTTCTTTTTATGATGTCTCCGCTGAATTCTGTGCTTAATTTTCTGTCGTCTGTTGGTTTGTAGCATTGATACTCCAATATGTAGCATTGTTGGTGTCTTTTTTCATCAAAATGCTTCCAAATGATGAACAGGAAGAACAAAAAGGAACCCAAATAGAACAAACTCAGAAGCTCCATGACAGAGGTGAAAAGGGCTCTGTTTTTTGTTCAAGAACAGAGAGATTTTTATAGAAAGAAGGTGCAAAGTGGGGGAAAAAGAGCTTTTTGGAAGAACATGTGAAGAGGGTTAACTCCCAACTGATAAAGGCTTTCAAGCGATGGCTACTCATAAGCGAGCAGGTGGGCGAGTAAAAGCTCGGCTACAAAAATGGAGAAAGAGTCAAACGAAGAACACTCAAATTATTGGATTTGTTATGAGTAGTTTCTGCTTTAGAACCCTATAATATATATAGAACAAGTTTTTGTATTTACGTGAAAAATAATCATTTGATTGGCGTTTTCTTATACACTTTAACCCACCACTTCAATCGAGTTGATTTACGAGTTATTATAGATCTGATAGCGTGACGAGGTCAAGAGAGGGGAGAACTATGTCGTGATTGTTTAAAGCTCGGGATGAGCTTTGTTTAAGAGAGTATGTGTGAGATCCCACGTTGGTTGGAGAAGCGAACAAATCATTTTTATAAGAGTGCGAAAACTTTTTTCTTGCAGATGCGTTTTAAAACCGTGAGGTTGACGACGATATGTAACGGATTAAAGCGGACAATATTTACTAGCGGTGGGGGTTGGGCTATTACAAATAGTATCAGAGTCAGACATCGGACAGTGTGTCAGTGAGGATGCTGGCCTCCAACGAGATGGATTGTGAGATCCCACGTTGGTTATTAGAGTTAGACACCGGACAGTGTGTGGTTGGGCTGTTACAAATAGTATCAGAGTCAGACATCGGACAATGTGTCAGTGAGGATGCTGGCCTCCAACGAGATGGATTGTGAGATCCCACATTGGTTATCAGAGTCAGACACCGGATAGTGTGTGGTTGGGCTGTTACAAATAGTATCAGAGTCAGATACCGAACAATGTGTCAGTGAGGATGTTGGCCTCCAACGAGATGGATTGTGAGATCCCACATTGGTTATCAGAGTCAGACACCAGACAGTGTGTGGTTGGGCTGTTACAAATAGTATCAGAGTCAGATACCGAACAATGTGTCAGTGAGGATGCTGGCCTCCAACGAGATGGATTGTGAGATCTCACGTCGGTTGGCAGAGTCAGATACCGGACAGTGTGTCAGTGAGAATGTTGGCCTCCAACGAAATGGATTGTGAGATCCCACGTTGATTGGAGAAGTAAAATAAATATCTTAAAGTTGACTATATGCGTTAATAGTCAACTATATGCGTGAGCAGTCAGTCAACATTATTGTTACTTGGTAAAAAATAATAATTAAGAGGGTGGACTTCTTGACTTGAATAGTCAAATTTGAACTAAATCAAATGTAAAAAAGTCTATGTCAAAGGATAAGAATAAATAAGAAGGTAGTTGTGAGGCTTTAGTCAACGACAAAAATTTAAATTTAATATTTTAGAACTTTTATAAAATAATAATTTAGTTCTTCCTATAAAAAAAATCTCTTATTTCTTGGATAATTATGAGTGGTTTAGCAATAAAAACATTTATTAATTTTTAGCATATAAAAATTAAAAATTAAAAATTAATTATTTTAATAATAATAAAAAAACATAAATGCAAATGCAATAAACCAATAAAAAAGTAAACGAATTAGTCAAAGGTGGAATTTTACTACACCTAAGCAGACAGGTCAATTCCAAAATTAGGGTTGTCGGATAAACATGAATTCAAACAATTTATCAATCCCACAACATAAATGCAGCCAGCCAAATACATAGCCAGTACGAAATAAATGATTGGTCTTGTTTAATAGTGTCACACATTATTTACAATGTCGGGTTATTTAGGTTTCAGAATTCACTCATAACTTAACTTAGAGATTTTATAACCAGGGTTTGAAACTACGTGATTTGTGCTTGAACCCGAACATGGTTTTTTAGCATCAAGTTGTGATAGGAGTTGTATTGTAATTTTCGTAGTAAATGTGGTTGAAGACGTGGGACAGGTGTTTATATTTATTGACGGTGATAGTTTTGAGATTTTGATGTGCGACAAATATGATTATATTCGGGATTAGATCGATTATTGTTGACAATACAATAATGAATGAACGTCAACGTTTCACTCGTTTTAGATCGTATATTTAGCAATTTATTAGTTGCAAACGTTGTAGCTTTAACGTTATCATGTTCAATTATGTTTGTTTTTATTGTAAAACTTCGAAAAAGACTCTTTTATTGCTTGCGACAAAACAAAACTTTCTTAACGAGTTAACGTTCTATAAGAAAAAAAACATCACAAATGTGACATTTTTACCTTAAAAATAATATAATCAAATATTAAAAAATTTAAAAAAAAAAACATCAAAGTAGGAATTTGGTGGGAGAAGTAATTAAAGAAATTGAATTTTTGAAGCAATTAGTGATTGGTTGGGTTTCGGTCAACTTTTAGGAGAAAAAAAAAGACAAAAGCACGTGAATTTCACACGCCACTTGCTAACTAAATTTTGCCGTTGTCTATTTTCTTTTTCTCTTGATAATTAATTTCCTATTCTTTTTCTTTATATATAAAATAAAATAAATTATATTAATGATTAATATGTTTTATAACAAAGTTAAAAGTGACAATTTTATTTATTAATAAAAAAAGTTAGTACATCCATAATGAAGGGAATGACACCCATTAGAATTAGTAATCGTCACGGTAGCATTATGTAAAACATAATGATACTTCGTGTACCTAATGGATGCACGTGTCTGTACTTTCGTGATGGAACAGGGGTATCCCTAATGCATGAGCACACATAATACATGAGGTCCCTACATTTTTCCATTTTCATTATTATTTTATACAACCTCGCTCGGTAAAGGAAAAGAAAAAAAGCAATTCCTTCAAAATCGCTTTCTTCCTTCCTTCCCCACTAAATGTCTCCGTCTCTATCTACTTACCTTCCCATAGCCAGCTAGCTCTTTTGGGCCTACCTCCATCTTACAACCACTTGCCCTTGCATTTACTCCGTCTTCGTCTCTATTTAGTTCATGTAACTTAAAAAGTTTTCGAGAATTTTTTAAAAAAATTTAAGTTTATATTTGTCGGGTCTTTAAGTTTAATGAGCAAGTTGACGATAAAACGATCGAGGTCTGATAGTATATATTAAATTGTTGTATTTTGATTAGTTAAATTAGATATTTAGTCTATAAAATTTAAAATTTGTGTTTATTTGATTTATATTTTTGTAATTAAACTTTCAATTTTATATTTTTAATAATTAATTATTAATTGAACTAATTATTGGACCTTCCGCTTCTATGAGCTAATGGGCTTGAATTGTGAAGCCCATCTAAAGATTCAATGCAGCAAAGCAATGGGCTTTCGAGATGAATGGGCTTTCCAGATGTTCAGTCAATTTGAGGCTAAATTAATAATAAAAAAACAATTATTGTCTAAAAAATTTTAACAATATTTTTAAAATTAAAAATAAAAAATAAAAATTTATTGTCGTTAGTTATTTATTTAAAAAATGACTTAAACTTTCGAAAGTTTCTTTAATATCTATAACTTTTAAAAAAAAATTTAAAAAAAAATTTAAAAAGATATTATTTACCTTTGGTACCGTGTTTAAAAAATATTCATAAAATTTTAAAAGTAATAACACCCTTAGCCTTTATAAAATTTTTAAAATTTTTACCGTTGATATATTACCGAAACTGTGTATTCACACCTCATAAATTATCTCTTTTAACTTTTTATTATTACTCTTGAAAATTTATGAGTATTTTGGTAAAAACATTTTTTTTAATGTTTTTGAAGTTCTTCAATTTTTAAATATATCTTTTTAGTTTAGGTTATGAATTATTCATATTTATTTGTTTTATCTACATTTAAATTATTAATAAAATAAATTTAACATAAAAGCAAATCGTTTGAGGAATAAATGAGAATAAAATTAGTATCACCAATTTTTATTCATTTTTTATTATTACAAAAGGAAAAATATATATAGTTTTTGTGCACATAAATATATTCTTTTACAGAAAAATCTAGGCGACAAAACGTCGAGGAATGGGACGATGAAGTAGACGAGGACCCGGTCCCAACATTTCCGGATCAAGACCTGTAAAACAGATCCGAAAAGTAATTACTCAAATCATCAGGGGATAGTGGGACTACCGGATCCGACTCAGAAACCCGCCTAGTACGAACCCGGTTCCTCGCGTAAAACTCGCCGTATAAAGCTCCAAGTTCCTTTGACAACGAGATTTTTATTTCATCACGGAGCTTCTGATCGGGCACGACCCAGGAGGTCTGTTTTCTGTAAGTTTCTTCAAAAGCTCTGTTGAAATTTCTGAATGATTCTCTTGCTTCCTCCGGTGAGATTTCTGCCTTTACGTCCGCCGGCAGCGACGAGAATACTCCATTCCATCCAATGCGACCGTACTTGGAGGCGTACAATTTGATCCTCGATTCGTGCCTCTCAATCCAGTCGCCGCCGAGGAGGAATCTCAGATTTGAGGTGCGAACTTTGTTGACGATGTACTGGAGATTGTTGGCCAAGAACAAGTAGGAGAGAGCGACGTCGTTGTATTGCTCGCCTTTGCCGTCGAGTTTGCATAGGAGGACAAGAATCAACCAAGCGAAACGTAAGGTAATCGGACTATCTTCTTCCTTAGGCGTTCCGTAGTATGATTCTGGCATTGATAGTTTTTCTGGTAAAGGCCAATCGGCTAAAATGTCGTTGAGTATTCTACTATAATCGGAGAGGAACAAAATATAGTTCATCACGTAGCTAGTGAGTGGATGAACTCCGCCTCTAGGAACAGGTTTTTTCGATGATTCTTTCTGAATAGACATTTCGAAGTCAGTGATTAATGTGCGAATGTTTTCTCCGAGTTTGATTTGTGAACTGACGACTTGTGATTGCACATTGGATGATGCTGTGGATGAGAAAATGTATTTGATCTCCGTCCAGAGGTCGGCTATGGCTTCGTATAGGTCTAGTGTAATGAAAATTTTCTCCGGAGATTTTTTGTATTTGGCAACTAATTCTGGGAATCCAAACAGAATCGTTGCACCGTCTTTAGAAATTTGAGCGAAGCATGATTCTCTGATGGGAAGGGAAGCCGAGAAAACATGATCGCAAAGGATTCTCTCTTGTTCGAACAGAGATTTCACTGCGGTTTTCACGCCTTTCAACCAGGTTTTTATTTTGCTCTCTAGAACTTCCCAATGCATCTTCTGAACTTTCGAAAAACTCAATTTCTGAATA